GTGAGTTAGAAACTTTCTGCTCATTATCACTCTCTGTTCCTTATTTTGACATTCATTAAAATGAGAGAGAAGCTGATTTATAAGCAGTTGTCCTAGTCAGACTCTCAGATTACTTAGTACTGATAAAATATGTACTAGAGTACTCAAAAAGATTATTTGTAGCTAGTGGTAATACCTCTTTCATCTGAACACTGATTGGGGCAGGGTAAATTTTTATTTAAAAGTTGTGATTGGTCACGAATTTTAGACCTGAATTAATTATTCAACCCGTGGTTGTATATGCAAAGTATGTTTTAACCTTAGGTTGAATGAAGTGCTTTCTCATGAACTTGGTTTTCCTGTTTCTTCCCCTCCCCCCCCCACAGTTGTGTGTATAAATGTGTATGCCAGCAGCACTCGGAACAGATGTATAGTGATCTGATTAAAAAGATAACTCATCACTTAGAGAGAGTCTCAAAGGAGCTGCAGGTAAAGAACTGACTGACTATTGATTTTTGCTTTCTTGGGACTTTCTGACTGGTTGGAATTAGCCTGTATTATGTACATTGGAGGCTTGTTAATTTATGATATCAATTTATAAATATTTTCTAGATGGATATTGATCAAATCTTATAATCTTTGGAATAGATTTGAAATTTTGACATAAACTGTGGAAAATTTTAGATTTAATATATTTCAGACTTTAATTCCATTTATTAACATGCCAACATTTCTTTTATTTAAAACTTTATTTTTGTCTGTTAACTTCAGTATTTGGTGGCATTTGTAGTATAAATGTGTATATTTTAATTTTTTTTCTGGAACTTTTTGGAAATTATCTTGGAAGAGTGATTTGCCTACCAGTTTCTAAAATTTGCTGATACAAACAATAGCAGTCAGCATTTTGTTGATAACCCCTCTATAGAGGAACATCGTCCCAGCTGTAAAATCTGGGCCAAGTTGGGGAAAATACTCTATTTAAGGAAGCACTCGGCCCCTTGATTCCTACCCCAGCCCTCTCTGCCTCTCAAGTTTCCAGTGCTTGAAGGTCAGGCACTGTATTTTGNAGAGAGAGAGAGAGAGAGAGAGAGAGAGAGAGAGAGAGAGAGAAATATCTTCTGGTAGCCTCCTGAGAAAATGTGTGTGTGCATAATAGTTTCAGGTCTTCCATATAAAAAAGTGCTGCTTTCACACTTGACTGACAGTTTGGGTGTGGAATTCTTAACTGAAAAATTGTCTTCTTTGAAGTTTTGAAAGTGTTCTTAACATTGACTTGAAGCTTGCAGTATGAGAATGGAGAATTCAGGTGCCATTTTCATTCCTATTCTTTCATATGTGACCTTTTTTCCCTTGAGAGCATTTCTCGGATATTTTCTTATATTAATGTGTCAATATTTTTCTCCCTTTACATTTTCTCGATGTTCCCTTTTTTCTGGAATTATTGGTAATCAAATGTAGAATTTCCAGTTTTGATTCTTTAAGTCTGTTAACTGGTTTTTGCTCTGTTCTGGATGAGTTCCTTGATTTTTTTTCTTCTATTGCATTTTTAACAATGGCTAATTTTTAACTTTAAGAGCATTTGATTGCTTCTTTTTCATAACAGTGTTTTTAATTTTTATCTTACCTCTCTGAGGATAGTAATTATAGGGTTTTATTTTTAAGTTTTATTGTTTTAATTACCTTTGTTTTTATCTTTTCAATTTTTGTTTGTTTTGATCTCTCATGTCTGAGACTTTTGCAAATCTTGGTGATCCTTAGGCCTCTTCATATTTAAAAGTGAGAGAAGCTAATTGGTAGTTCTGTGTTTGCAGGAGGCCTTTCCTAGTAAGTGTTGGGCTTCTCTTCGGGCTAATTGGATGCAGAGCTGCTATTTTGTTGAGGAACTGCCAAATATTGTTAGTATGTGACTGTCTTTTCTCTGGGACTGTTCAGTTTCCCAAGGGAAGGATCTTTCATTCTGAGAGAATGATGAGGGTGGGGGGTTGGGGGGGGGTTGGTGGAGCAGGAAGTAAAGTGCATTTCTCCTGGCTGATGCATTCTAGAATTAAAGAGAAGGAGCAGGGTCAGATGTTTGAGCATTTCTGAAGTTGGCTGTTGACTTTTACTTAAAATCCACCAGCCCTATGCTTCACTCACTCACTCACTACCATGTATCTGTGTTTTGGAGTCCTAAACTTTTATCTTTCAGTTTCTGTGCAGAATAACACTTTTCTACTAGTTAGCCAACAGACTTGCAAACAGCCTTCACCTCACATCCCACCAACGCTCTGCCTCTAACCCTCACTCCTATCCTGTATTCTAGTCCTGGACTCCTCAGGGTCCTGCAGGGCAAGGTCACCACACTAAGGGGACTTCCACCTCAGCACACACTGCCTGGTGCTGCTACTTCAAAGTCAAACTTTCCTGGTCTTATTGCCATGGAAAGATTAACTTGTTTAAATCTTGCAGGAAATCACAGAATTTTAAAACAATGGCAAACCTGTAGTTAGCATGGCTTATATCTAATGTAATCTCAGTTGAGCAGATATTTTCTGTTTGAATATTGTGCAATTTTGGATTAGTTGAAGTTGGAGCCATAATGGATGTCTTGGTAGCCATTGACCTTTTCGTATATGTACTATCACAACATGTTAATTTTAGAAACTATATCACAGGCTCAAGCATGATGTAATTGTAGATTAATATTGTGCAATAACTATTCTAAAGGAATATCAATGTTGCCAGTAGGCCACTGCAACTAGTTTTCAGTTTTTCAAGATAGCCATGAAGGAAGTTTCTACTATTCTGTTACATTTCCTCAAATTGAGAAATGTGTGGATTTCTAGGCAGTAAAACCATAATAAGATGCATTTTCTATACCAGTTTTCCAGTGCTTGGGGAAAGAAACATGTTATTTGAAGCAAGGCAAAAAAGGAAGTTACATAGTTTCATATAGTTCCTATGTTACAAGCCTTATCTGGACCAAAATGTTTTCTTCTGGGAGGGTTAGAATATAATGGGGTGGGAAGCACAGAAAGCTTAATGTGTTAATGAGGACTTACATAAAATAAAAATAAGACATCAGTGTTATCTAGTTATTTATTTACATTAATGTAACTTCACGTGTACACGGATGTAACAACATTACAAAGAATGACTTCTTACTGATCACAGTAGACATTTTATATTGTCTATAGCATTTAAATTGAATTATGCAAACCACAAATCCTAAAACTTAGACACTCCCTAAACAAAGGGACACCTAAAAGCAACTTTTAAAAAGGTTTTAGCCTACTTTAGAAACAAGTAGGCTTCATTAGGACTTAACATTAGGGTGTGTGTGTGGGTGTGTGTGTGTGGGTGTGTGTGTGTGTGGGGGGTGTGTGTATGTGGGGGGGTTTCTCCTAATAAAGAAAAGGATATTTAAAGTATTTGGTAACTGACTTATTTGTCTTTTTTAAAAACTGGGCTTTTCTCTTAGGAGCCAGTAATTATTACTATCTCCTTTGCTAGTATTAGGTTATCTTACTTTTGAGAGAAATAAATAACTGGGGTTTTCTTTTTTAAAAAATAAAGTGACCCCATTTATTTATTATGTTACACTGCCTTGTTCTGCTTCTGGTCCTCCTCTTGTACTCTATTCCTTTTCTGTATTCCAAGAGGCAGGCTTTTAAAAGTCCCCTTTCTTAGCTTTGTTCTTGGTCTTCAGCTTGTCTGTCCATTACTTGGAAGATTCAGTCACCCTTTGTGCTGGAGGGAACGGAGCATTCCACCAGGTGGCCGTGTTTTGGATCACACAGATTTACTGGATTGTTATCCATAGATGGGCACACTGTGGCAACAGGAAGTCATCATTTTTCTCTGAGATTACATACGCTAGCCAGAGTTGAATAGAAAACCCCGAGCTCTTTTCTCGTACTCCATTCAGTTAGATTATCTAGTTGTAATTAATTATAGCTAATCTAAAAAGTCATGTTTGAGACATAATTGAAACTGTTCAATTTGGCTGAATCGTTTATTTCATAATTGCCATTACTATATTCTTAAGGAAGGTAGCTTTTTTGGTGGGGAGAAGGGATTTGGAAGAGTAGAATTTTAATAGTCTTTGACATGAAAACCGTTCCTAGCTGCCCTTAAAAATATTTTCTTTGCTACACTTACACTTTTATTTGACTTTCCAGTTCAAGTTATTCAGAACAAACAAACCACATGCTAGCAGTCGGGAACAGAGGGACACCTGTGACCCCTGGCTGTCCTGAGCGGCTGAAGCCGTAGCATTAGGCAGTGGTTTTCAAACCCAGAGATGCTGATGCTGCTCTGTGCATCACACTGTGAGGACCACTGATGTAAGGTAACGGCCAGTCTTCGCAGTAGACTCAGCGCATGCTCTCATTGCTGAATATATTCTCCCCTTACAAACCAATAACAACAAAAAAACTAAAAAGGATTGTCTAGTGGGCTTACCTGGTTTGCTTTAAGCCTGTGTGAAATCAAATAGGATTTAAGCTTTATTTCCAAAACAACTGATAAGTAGCATGCCTTGGACTGTTTTCATATTAAGCATTTATTTTGATTTTCATTAAATTAGTTTGCTTCACATGTCATTGAGTACCTCACATGTGCTTGGCACCGTTTGGAGTTGGGGCTCTAGAAGTGAGTTCCTCCTCCCTGGGACTGACGTCTTAAGTTGAGGGAGATTGATAATAAATGTGTCAAGTTCAGATAAGTTACTTGGATGAGGAAGTATAAGATTCGAACATAATTATTCCTGCTTGGTAGTAATGATATATCGCTAATAGTTTCTTTATTATTAACAACCTGGCAATATTTCCTGAACCTTACATTCCACTATTCCATGTATTTTAGACTTTAGTTCACTTTATTTTAGGAAAGGTCAATTAAACTACTTTCTTGGTAGGATTTGGGCTGCATGCTTGTTATCTTATAAACACGGGGTTCTAGGTTTAAGCCTTGTGGCATGATGTTTTGAGGCTCACAAGAGGGTTTTAAAAGTTTTTGAACTTGAATGTCTCTGGAGGGCATATGCGTTCTACGGTTCACTGAAGAGTTAGTTCGCTGCTCTTTTTCACCACGCCTCCTTTGCTCATTTAAGTTACTGGCCTGGATCTTGTAGGCATTGGCGTTCGTAATGCCTTCTTTAAACGGTTTAAAAGCTAGTGTATTGTTTACATGCTGGAAAATCTAACCTACGTAAAATTTAGTAATTTCACGGTAATTTCATTTTTGTTTAGGTTTCATGCTTTGTATTTCTTTTGGTAGTCTGAACTTTTCTGTGGGCAAAGTTGAAAGCAATTGATTCATTTCTCTAATAGGAGGATCTAGTTTTAAAGTTCAAGTTTTAAAGTACACACACACAAACACATACTCTTTGGGGCTGTATGTGTCAAATGTTAAATAAACCAAACAGCTGAGATATATATATATATATATATATATATATATATATATATATTTTTTTTAGTCAGGGATGGGGTTGAGATTAGCAAGGA